CAGACAGACAGACAGACAGACAGACAACGTCCTTACGTCAGGTACCCGGGGTAACCTATTGCAGTCTGTACCTGTTGCACTCCGCTCATCCCCGGGGACACACACACACACACAGAGAGAGAGAGAAGGGAAGAAAGAGAAAGAGACACAGAGAGAGAGAGAGAGAGGGGAGAGAGAGAGAGAGAGAGAGAGAGAGAGAGAGAGAGAGAGAGAGAGCAACAGCAGCAGCAACAACAACAACAAAATCAACTACAACAACAACATAAACAATAATAATGAAAGTTGTAGTAAAGAGAATAATATGTACAATCGAACATCCGCTCTAACAGCCACCAATATCGTACTGAAACTGATTAAGACGTTCATCTGTATAAGACGACCACTATTCTCCTCGAAAATGGGTGGCTGTCTTAGACTATTTCGAGGGTACAATACTAATAATATTCTGATTAAGCCAGCTGAAATTCATAATTGTGATCCATCGTCGCTCGTCAAACTGATGAGACCTGGCAATTTTACTGACAGTTGAGCCATTTTTTTCCCCGAATTTTCTTCTTTTTTTTCTTGCTCAACACCTTTAATCTTTAATGTCCATTTAAAACATTTTCCGTGTGGATTTTACTTTTTTTTAAAAGAAAGATGAATAAAGGCCAAAAAAGAGTAAATTTTCAGCTTCCAAGAGCTCCAAGCTGTGGAAGTCATCAAGCTTTGGCAGCCATTTTCTGGTTAATTTTAGTAATGAAACCAAGTGACCCCCACCTCCTTCAATCTTAAATATCTCGACCTGTATTTAAGATAGAAGAGTTTTTTTCCCCCAAAAGCAAGACTAATAGACAAACCTTAAGATAACACCAATCCATACCCAAAAATTCACGAGCGCCTGATTCTACGTCATCGTGACACAATTATTATTGTTCTACCTGGAATCCTCACTAGAGTGTCCCACGACATCTGTGTTACCTTTCTGACGGAGCAAACTGTAGAAACAATGCCGTGAGAATAGAAGGACATTCTGTCAAACTCACCACGTTTACTGGTTTTCTCCAACGACATTTCTTTCTCCGAAATCTTCCTCGACATTTTCTCCCCCCATTTCCCTGACATTTTCTCTAATATTTTCCCCGACATTTTATCACAGGGAGTAATTTTCTCCAAAATGTATATTTCCTTCCTTATTTTCTCAGATTATTTTCTCCGATATATTCTCCGACATTCTCTCACAGAAATTCTTTTCAGATATTTTCTCAAAGCATTTTCTTAGGCAATTCGTTACTTATTTTCTCGAATATTTCCCCCGACATTTTCTCCAGTATCCTTTCTAGTATTTACTCCAACATTTTCAGACGACATTTTCTTCCCGACGCCAATAGATTTCTCCATCAATGTCTTCGATGTTTTAATTTCTCTCTGACATTTTCACCAACATGTTCACCGACATTTTCTCCAACATTAATTTCTCCGACAATTTCTCCGACATTTTCTCTTTTTATATTTTTCTTTCACGTGTTCTACGACAGTTTCTGTCATTTTCTCCGAAACGTTTTTCATACTTCCTCCGAAATTTTCTTTCCTACTTTCTCCGACATTTTTTTCCCCATTTTCTCCGAAATTTTCTTTCTCATTTTCTCCACATTTGCTCTCATATTTTCTTCGATTTTACCCTAACACTTTCTCCGACGGTATTTTCCTCGCCTGTCCAGTGTGTGAATGTCATGGAGACAAATTCAGAGCTAAAACTGCAGAGGCAAAAGACAGCGCAGAGATCATTTAAATGTAATCTTAGTCCTCACAAAACTTACGGGTATTCCCTTACAAATACCGCGGCACACGAAAGCAATTGCATTGCCCGGGCCACACGCACAAAAAGAAGCTTTGTTCTGGTCTCAATTTAAATCTGATTCCTCGTCCCAGATCTCAATGTCCGTCTCAAAGAAGCAAACAAACGCAATCTGCGCGAACCTAATCCGGCCAGGTTTATTGCCGGCGGGTGTGGCAGGAGTCGTGTTGCTGTGATGTCCGTGGAGGTTGGCTCGTTAATGATCCCTGCGCCGCTGCTGCAAGTTTTCTTTCACTTCTGTTTGCTCCAGTCAAATCGAGTGTCGAGTTTCGGGGCTTTGTCGTCGAGCAGACTGGTTCTATAACCAGGGACAGATAATCACTCCCCCCCCCCCTTCCAAACCTCTGTCATTATGATATACGAGCGTCTTATATTGTGAGCAACTTTCTGTGTCACTTCAAAAGTATCCGGGTATCGTTTAAAAGTCATTGGCCAATTTAAAAGAAAAAAGAAAGAAGAACAACCCACAAAACAACAATAACAATGTGTGATTGTTTAACAGTTTCCCCCTTATCTCTCCTTTTCTATTCTTCTGTCTGTCCATCTACCCAGTTCTCTCCCCCACCCCCCCTCCTTTCTATATGTCCTGTTTTCCATTGATCTCTCCTTCTCTCCTCTTCTCTCTACCCGTATGTCTATCTAGATCTATCTCACCCTCTCTCTTGTTGGGGAACACGCGAAAGGACAGAAAGAGTGAGAGACAGGGGAGAGAGAAAAGGGAATGGAAAGATGGGGGGGGG